AGAGAGAGAGAAACACACATAGATAATCTAATACTTGAGAAGTGGCAGAAATGAGAAAGTGGACCCCAAATAGCCAGTGGAGGTTCTCTGGAGCCAATATCCTCATTTATTGTAAACACACATCAGGTCAACTTAGCATGGCGGTAATAAAGAGGATTCATGATTCACGATTTGTACGAAAGTTGGACCTTTGAAAAATGATGCCGTGCACATCAAGTCATTTGCTTCTTATGACATTCTTGTGATGAAAATCAGTAAGATATAAATGGGTACAGCCTCTGCATGTTGTTCAGCCACTTGCTTCTTTCCCATTTTATATCTTGGCCATTTCCCCCTTAACGTCTTAGCTAAGCATAGACTTATCTAATTCATTGCAAACACAGGAGGGCATTTCACAGCGTGGATGTGCTCTGAGCACCTGAGCCACTGCCGACAGCAAACACTCTCACTTGCATTTTGGTTTTTGCTTTTCTTGGTTTTTTTTTTGTGTGGTGAAACTGTAGTTAGGATTACCGGATTATAGATGAGACATGGAAGGCCAGAAAGTCCAAGACTCCACACACAGCTGGTGCCTCGCTCTCAAGCTGAGATCCTTCAGCGCTGCGGCCGTGGTGGTGAGATACTAGCAGGAGTGTGGTCTGGACGGTTGGGAGATGCTGAAATGTCACCTGGGAGACTCACCTGCTCCAGGTCCTCGGCTGACATTTTGTTTTCTCCTGTCGGATCCTGATACGGCAAGACAAAGAGCTCAGCAGCCGTGGGTAAGCCGGGGAGCACCGCCACCAAGATGTGCCGGGGTGGCACCCCCGTGGCCTGAGGGAGAAATACAGAGGCGCACGTGAGGAGTGAAGGAAAGGTGGTGAGGCGGGACCAAGGACTCAGTGAGGAACGGGGGTGGGGGTGGTGTCGGAGCAGAGGCCTGGGGAAACCAGGTACGAAGACATGTGAGAGGCAGCGCTGGGCTACAAGTCGGGCTCTGGAGTAAACTGGTCTGAAGTTCGATCTCAGTTCCGTTCCTGAGTTTAAACACTTCGTTTCCTCCATACCTACTATATACCCCAAATTTAAAAACAAAACGCGGATACTAGTAGTACTTGTAAGAGGGGATTTTGAGAATTCAGTGAGTTACATAGGAAGCATCTGGAGCAATGCCTGGGGATTCAAATGTTACCTGTTTTTTTTAGGGCATCTCTAGTGAGTGGACCTTGACAATGAGAAGACGCTCACTTACGAAACTCTATCATCTGCCTCTCATGCTGTAACCTTTTTGAACCCAGCCTCCCCCTTCGTTGTAGCGCTACAGTTACTTCTCCAACTCGATCAGTCGCATCTTAATGACCGAACCTAACAGAACTCGCCCATCTCACAACCCTCAGGCACCTGCTGACCTCTCCGCATCATCAGAACTGATGACCAGGCCATTTCAGGAAGCACTCTGAGCCCTTCCTTCACTTTGCCATGTGAACCTCCTGTTAAAACTACAGATATCACTCCAGGACTTCCTCTTTATCTGAGCTCATCTGCTCTCTTTTGAGCTTATACCTCAGGGTTTCCCATGAGCCTCTAAAACCTCTCCAGATGGTTCTAGAATCAATAGCTCCAATCCCAGCTTTTCTCTCCAGGGACCAGTCAGAATGTCATTCATTTGGTTGTTTTACTAGGACTTCCAACAAACATGCCAAAAAAGAACCCATTTTCACCCGCGAAGTCTTCATTCTACATTGAATGACTCGAGGCAGTACTTTCCCAGACAGCTTGGCTTGAAGCCTTCCAGTTGTCTCTGGCGCTGCATTCTCCTTCTCATGTTGTGTCTCATCCAGCTATGAGACCTTGACGATTGGACCTCCACGCTAATAATCCTATTGCTTCCTTTCTGTTTAAATACCCACTGTTAATATCCCAATTCAGCATTTACACTCTCTCCCATTTAGGTCTTACAATAGTTTCCCCATTTCCAGGAGACAGGCTACTACTTCCAGATTTAGTTTCGTTCAGTCCAACTCAGATTGCATTTTCCTGTCCAAATTCTTGCAATACATCCCGCTACCAACTGGATTCAATATATATTCAAACCTTCTGCAGGATGGTCCTGCCCCTCCTTTCCAAAATAATTATCCATGCCTCACACAGTTATCCTGTGCTCCAGCCAAACTGAGTCATGTACAATGTCTCAGTATTCCAGCCTTTTTGTGGGAATGTTTTTGTGTGTGCCATCTCCCGCAGGATGTTTTTTTCCTCTACATTTGTTGCTAGAACCCTACTTATCCTTCATAACCCTTCTTAAACTCCGCTTGTTTCAATATATTTTTCACAATTTCCCAATTAGGCGATTTTTTATTTTGAACTCCACCTTCATACCTTTTCCGAAGTAGTAAGACATTCCATTTACGGGTCCGTACCATGTGTCAGGCGTTGTGCTAAGTAACTTGTTAATATTATGTAATGCAGCCCCTCCCCCACAACGACTCTGATGCAATTATTATTATGCTTGTCTTTGCAGGTGAAGACATATCACAGGTGGGGGTCCTCAGGAGGCTGGCTCTGAGTTTAGCATTCGGGGTGTTTATTAAGGATGTTCTTGGGGTCACCATCTATGGGGGTGAAGGGAAGGAAGTAGGAATGAGCAGAGGGAGAAGCTGGGCTGTGATGAGGGCCAACAGTCTCAGGAGACCTTGCACGGAGTGAGAACGGTGCTTCAGGTTTGTCTGAGGTTCCGCCGAGATGGCCAAGGCTTTACAGAACTGCAGCAGTGAGTCACGGGGTGGGAGCACCCTGGAAAGGGACATGACATGGGCAAGGCGGCTGAAGCCCCTGCCCCCAGCAGTCCCAGCAGCTAAGACAGGAGTCTTTCCCTGAGTGGGGATCTGGGCAATGCGTCTCTATTTCTGTCACAGGACAGATGACGGTTGATGGCGGAACGTGAAACAGCGGCTCAAGGCCATCTAGGTAGTGAGTGGTGATGCCTGGTTCGGGACCTTCGTCTGACCATGAAGCCTCTGCTCTTAACCGGGGCTCTACTGCCTCCCTTCTCCCGACACTGATAATACAGCAGCTCCTGTCACAGCTAATCTCATACTGTTTTATGGCCCTACTGGATGTTTAACTCGGAGGTTATGTCTCAATCCTCCTCATCATATAGAAAAACGTTTACTGAATGGCTCAGATTTCACTGTGAAATGTCAACAGAAAAACCCCATTTGGTAAGGAAAAGGGAACACGTTTTATATCCAATTCTGTTGCGTAATGCATAGAAAGAAAACTACAAATAAGTTGACCCTGAATTGTCCATCTTGCAGGGTTTACGAAGGTACACTTGGCAGCGTGGTGCTTCAGGACTTAAGGAAACGGCCAAAGGCAGGATGGGTCACTGGGAACCAGGGGTTGTGTCAGCTGCCTCTTAGGACTGGCTAACCTAGGAGTTTTCAAAACTCCCTCCCCCAGTCACACCCTGTCCTGAGGGATGTCTATTCCCAACCTGTTTATTCTGCATTTAGCTGATTATGCTATGCCCCAGCCTAGAAATTTTGAAAAGCAGTTAAGTTCCAGCCTACCGGACAGCTGGAGCAAAGGTGAAGGCCCAGGGCAAATGGTCCCTAGACAACGAGTGTGAAGTGCAGTCAGCCTGGAAAGCTGGTCACTGCTGAGCTAATGCCCGGTGGGCAAATCATCTAGAGGTGGTGGACAGCTGCTGGGGACATCTATAGGGACGTGGATTCCTAGAATGTCGCAGACCAAAGGAAGTGGGCAGTGGGTTCATCGAAGGGTGTAAGTCATCTCCCTTGGACAGCAGAGGAGAGAAACCAGTTATCACACCAGGGCCAAACAGCTCCCAGGGTAGAAGGGTCTATTCCAGTTGGGCCTGGAGTCTGGTAGCTTCGCCCCCTGGTGGCCATAATGTTTAGCGACCCATGATGTTACGGATGCTGAGGCATGAAGACAAAGGTGGGAGGGCATTTACCCACCGGCGCATGAAGATACCCCTTCTGCACCCCCCCATTCCACTTATCCCTGCTTCCCACATTATCAGGCAAAGAGTGGCAGTACAGGGCAACGGTTATGAAACCATGAAATCAAATTCAAAACTTGATGGCCTGACTCCCAAGCCTAATTCTTAACTGCATGACCTTGGGCGAGTTAGCTGTCTCTATCAGTTTCCTCACCGGTAAAATGGGGATAATCATACTATCTACATCACAGGCAGGCTTGTTTTTCTTTCTTCTTCTTTTTTTTTTAAGCTGAGCCATCCTGCCACCTGTTGGCAGCTCAGCGGCAGCTCATCTCGGGACAGGAATTGAACCGCTGTTGCTCAGAGCTCAAACTCTTGAGCGAGCTCTTAACCAACTGAGCCACTCGGCCGGCCCCAGGCTTGTTTTTCTGTAATTAAATGTGATAGCAATGAAAGCACTGAGGAGGGTCTCTGGAATACTGTATGTGCTAAATAAATATGAACACAAATAATGGGGAAGGGCAGCTCCTCACTAAAAGGCTGGATGCGAGATCGGTTTGCTGAGCAGGGGTTATCTGAATGCCTTTATCCCATATCTCTTTGTATCATGCGGCACCATGTGTGGGGTGTAGGGAAGAATGTACAGAAAATCCTGCATGGACTTGCCTTTTGGGCTAAGCACATACCCTAGGGAAAAGCCTCTCATCTCTGACTTTCTGGGTTTGTGCAACAACTCCAAGCAGCTCTATGCAGGTATCCATGCTCTGATTATTCCTGGGACTGGAGTACGCAGGAGAGCGTGCCTATAAGAAGGTGTCTTCTCAAAATGTCAGTGACGCTGGTTCAGAGAGGGATAAATCCCATCACCTTGTTCTTTTTCCCAGTAACCCAGGGAGCTGTGTCTCATAGGTAAATCCCAGACATTGGACTCAGACCCTTCACTTCAATTTTGCACTTCATCACTTATTAGCTATGAGGCGTTAGGCAAGTCATTTAACCGCTCTGAACCTCAGTTGCTCCATCTGCAAATTGAGGGCAATGATGCCTTCCTCTCAGGGCTGCTGTAGGAGACAAATGCCTTTACAAGAACCGGGACATTGAAGGATGACTAACCATCAGGTATGGAGAGCTCGCTGTGCAGCTATGCTCACCGTTCGTGGAGCCAGAACCCGGGGCCGCTCTTAATAATTGGACCCACACTGTGTCTTTCCGTATTCTGCACAGCAACTGACTTCACGCTTACTAATGGCTCATCGTGGACTCTTCTATACGACTGTCACAAATTTCCATGTTCTTCTCTAAGCAGAGCTAAGGACCACATGTTTGTTCACAGTTTCACTGCCCCCATAGCATTCGTGACGTGTCTGCAAGCATGGGGCTCAGCTATGCAGATATCAGATCAGGGCTCCAGCTCTTCCCTGCCATTTCTTTGCACAAGGATCTCCTGACCATGCTTCCCTTCAAGGACAGAGAGGAAATGTGCCTGGGCAAGAGAAGGAACTGTCTGCACTCACTTCCACCAGGGACTTTTTGATGACTCGGCTGATGTCCCTTCTCCACTCGGGGATGTCCGGGTTGTAGTCGTCCAGGTTTGGAGAAAACGACAGGCGGAGAGACCGAAATTCCTCTGGGGATACAAGAGCAGAGTGATCACTGTTACATCAAACGGTTCTCTCAGGAAGTCTGTTATACTTTATATTTTCTGCAAAGCCCGAATGGAAGGTTCTTTCCCCCCACACTTACCAGGGATACCCTACTGCATGGCAAATTCAACATCCCATCCCTGTTACCTCCCAGCTCCTCGTTTTCCAGACCAAAGCCCTAGGCTCTGGCTCCTGACTGGCTCGCAGCCTTTGTCCACTGTTCCCAGTTCTCGACTGTACACTCCAGGACACTGTATGACTTGGAGCGCCCTGAGTGCATCACAGGTTTGTGAGCCTGGGCCCTTGCACACACTGCCCCTTGCCTAGAATGCCCCATCCTTCCCACCTTCTATGATCACTATAGTCAAGCTCTAGTTTGAGCATTTACCGACTGAATACCCTCTCCCGCCATGTTTTACTGTTATTTTTTATGGCACAACTCTGTCTGGCACATACTCTCATTAATAGTATATGATTGTATAATAATAATTATTCGATTACATAATCATAATTATTATTGCAGTCATTCTATTGCTATTTTGTGTTTGCATGAAAGTTTCATTTAATGCAATTTTGAACTCCTTAGGTCAACGGTTTGGTTAGCTGTCTCCACAGCCCCTGAGTTAGTCCCAGTCCTCCAGGAAGCAGACAAAATGATTGGGTTGTGGGAAGAGTCATGACGCATTTTTGCAATGAAAAACATAGAAAGAATATGTCATGACTTTTCTGACAACCCAATATTTTTAAAAAGGATTTTTTGAAGAGAATCATCTCTGAGAGAGCATCGGGGGGAAGCCAGAGGAGCTTGGGGTACCCACAGACTGTGAAACATGAGTGGCACTTGCTGGGAGAGAGGGAGGAAGGATGAACGACTGCTGTGCAGTCTGAGGGAGGTTCAGAGAGACAGGGGTGGGGAGTCTTCTCACCAAAGGCAGAAGGAATGCGTCCCAGGAATGGATCCGCCTTCTTATTTCTGTCCCACTCAGTCATTGGCTGGAATCAGCCCATGGAAGGCGTGGCCTTGGCCCTAGCATGGTGATTGGTTTCCAAGCACAGCCCTGGGGATCTCAGCACAGCCTTTGGCACATGGCTCCACAATGCATTTAGAATAAAACTCAGATTCTTACCATGGCCTTCAGAGTCCCGCACAACCCAGTACCGATTTTCTCTCCTTTGACTGACTTGCATGCTTACCGTTCGTGGAACTAGAACCCGGGGCTGCCCTTACTCATTGGATCCACACGGTATCTTTCAATATTCTGCACAGCAGCTGACTTCACACTTACTCACGGCTCATCGTGAACTCTTCTATATGGCTGTCACAAGCGCCCATGTTCGTCCCTAAGCTGGGTAAGGACATGCACTCCAGCACCCTGTCCTTCCCTCTGGTCCTCAGTCTGCCAGGCTCTTTCCCACATTGGTACATTTCCCGTTCCCCAGATTATAGCACTCTCAACTCATTAATCAGTCTCTCCCAGGAGAAGCCTTTGCCACCAGCCACCTCAGGCATCCTCCGTCTCACCAACTTGAACCCCCTTCATCATATGGCCCCATTGGTCCTTTTCGTATTTCTTGCTGTTTAACTCATTTTGTTTTCATGGTCTGCCTCGCACTGGAATAGAATTTCAATGAAGACAGGGGCACTGTGTTCCTGGCCCCTTTGAAATAGTATCCGGTTCACGGTAGGTTTTCAATTACTATCTATGAGTCATTTAATTAATATGTTTTTGTTGAATGAATGACAGTGGAGGTTCTCTGTAATTTCTGCCTTTACTTATTCAACCAACACCTCTTTCGTGTCTGAAGCATGTCCTTGTATTTCAAAAGGGGTTCATCAACATCGGCATGCTGAAATATAAAAGCCCGCTTGTGCATTTCCTAACAGCGCTGAAACCTATCGGACACAGGCTCTGAAGGCTCTTACGTTATAAGGTGTGTGTCGATGGCAGCGTATCCCAAAGACGTATTTTTCAAAGCTAGACTATTTTATGAATCACTGGTCACCTATATGAAAATCACCACTTCGGTTCTGATAGAGAACAATGAAATGCATCCTAATTAGTAGCATGGCAAATAGCACCCACTGAGTCCTAACTTTTCACTTTGAAGATACTAGTTTATGTTTCAGTTTCACGTTCTTAGAACTTCTTCTCAAACTGCAGCAACTTTATCTAAAAGGGAAGATGTTTATCTGCATAAAAGGACACAGATGAGAAAAATTATATAGCTCCCTCTGTAATTACTCAGCATGCTAAATAGCAGAGCACGGAGGGAGAATGGCCAAGAAAAGTCATACTTAAGTTTATTTAACAAATAGGGGATGCATGCTGGAGGAGCAAAGGGTAAACACCAATAATATATACATTACACCTATACATACATATCTGTCTATATCTATCGGTCTGTCTGTCTGTCTATCTATCTATATCTATCTATCTGGTAGCTGCTGAGAGAGATAAATTTTCCAATTGTAAATTTTTTCTCTGCCCCTTTGAGATGTAAATCTTCTATAAACCAGTAATGGGCTTTCTCAAGGACCTGGGAACCATCTCTTTGAATTGTAATTATCACTGATTCCTGCATGGGATGGTGGGCTGTGCCACTCCCCCCTTCCCAACTCCCCCCTCCCCCCCCACAACTAGACTGAAGGACAACAACTTGACTTGGAGCTGATGGGTCCTGAAAAGACACACTGTTCCCCAATAAAATTTAAAAAAAAGAAGAAGATAGGACCCCAGCCTCTGGGAGGGTAGATGCCTTACTTCCATAAGCACCAATTGGCAAACATAGATGACCTAGTCACACTGATAATCCCCTTACCCCCACAGAGCTTCAGCACTTTTCCACTGGCTCATCTCAAAGTTTAAAAATCTCCTTGCCTTTTGTTTTAGTTGAGTTCAATGCTGCCTAACTCCTTGTGCTGCAATTTGCCTTTAATGTGTCACAAATGTCATTAAAATTTTCTTGTCATACATATGAAACTCTGGACAACTCATCTGACTAAAGATGAATTAGGGCTGTTTGGTGGCTCAGGAATTTGGTTAGAGGAGGGGGAGATCACTTTCCCTGCTCAAGTGTTGAATGAAGAGACCTTTTTAAATGAAGAGAACCCAGCTGATGGATTGATTCTCTTTTGGATGATGGCTTTACAGAGATTTCAGGAAGAGGAAAAACTCCAAGTAGCAAGGGGGTGGAAAGTGGTTAGAAACATTCCCTCTGAATTCAGAGTTTTAGGCTCTGTTTCTTATACTTAGCTCATATTTTCTCATTTGTGAAACAAGGATAATTATAGCGTATTTCTCATAAATTTGTCTCATAAGTCTGTTCACTAAAGCAGATCATATATATCAAGTGCTTAGAACGGAGGCTGGTAAGAGTGTCATCAATGTTAATTACTACCACTTCCATCACCATTATTATTGCCGGCTCTTTCACTGAACAGTGGAATGACTTGAAGCCAGTAATTTCCCATTTCTGGGCCATCACCTCCTATCTGTAAAATGACTAGCTGGACCAGATAAGCCCACAGACATTCTAGGTCTAAAGTTCTCTCTGTGGTTCTAGTGAGAAGGTTGCTGATATGCTGAACCAAGAGGACATCTGCTGGACTAGTGGGTCAGCGCCCATTAGCGATGCAAGTGACATCCAGGTGAGAACGGCAGGTGGAAGACACAGCTAAGCAAGGCGACTTCAGAGCGTGGGCCCTGGTATAGACGGGCTGTGTGGGAAGCCCAGCTCTACAACTTACTAGCTGGGTCGGGTAGTGACCGCTCCAAAAAAAATAAGAGTAATAATATCACCTACCCTATACGAGGGCTGTTAGGATTCCAGTGCCTCCCAGAGTGTAGAAAGGAGATGGCTAAGGAAAGAAAAACAAAAGTTCTCCCTTTTGGTCACCTGACTGGGAGGCTGCCTCACGGATGGGACCTGGTGAGGAACACCAGTCCTGCTTTACTTGCACTTACTATTTGGGCTCATGGAGCCTCCTGGGGTGGGGGAGGGAGGAAACGATGAAATCTAACACCCAGCCATGCGAGGAGGAATAGCATCCCTTCAGACATGTTCAAAGCTGCTTACAAATTACGTTCTGAATTTGAAGGTCAAGTTGGCAAGATGAGAAATGAAAAACAGAAGCTGAGTCAGAATCAATTAATTCTGGAACTGGGGCAATTGATATTATCTGGACCACAAGCTAGCGTGTCTGCCTGCCTCTCTCTTGTCCTCTCCCTCATCTATCTATCTATCTATCTATCTATCTATCTATCTATCTATCTATCTAATTCTCCCCCCCTCGCTTTATCCCTCCCTCTTATACTCTCTCTCTGCACAGCATTTATTTCCCCTATCTATTCTTTTAAATTCTTGTTTTTAAATTTTAATGTTTTTGTACCACTTCCATATTAACATTCAAGCTTACATTTTTACCATCCATGCATTACATTTAGTGCATCCATCTGCATATCTTTCTATGCAGAAAATATTTCCCCAAATGAGATCAATTTGTATAAATTGTTTTTTCAATCTCCCACTTTCAATCAATAATTCCACCTTTCCACTTCAGTAAATGTTCATTCCATCAATACTTTGACCATGTTCAATTTCCCTAATTGATTACAAAGTTGTTCGAACCAATACCCAGTCTATGATGGTGCATTACTCCTGCTTGTTAGGCCCCTTCTGTTGCTTTTTATCTAGCAGAATTTTTGTTTTGTTTTGTTTTTAGGATACAGATTTGTGGAAAAGATTCTCAGAGTATTTATACATTGGTAGGTTACTCTTAATCATCAAGATTTTAAAAGTTAAACTTTTAAAAATAAAAAAGCCTCAATATTAATAATTTTCTTTCATTACAGGTTTTGGCTATTCAAACACCACCAAACTACCAAATGAACTGAAAGAGCCTTACACATCATGAAGGTCCCTCTCCCCCACCTGAGGTGAGTGAGTGAATGGTCGCTCCTTGTGCACCAGAGTCACTGCGAGAAAACGAAACAGTAAACCCTCAGGGGTTTTGTGACCACTGTTTTGCTGGTGGACCATGTCTTCCCCAAAGGAGGAGACCAGACCTGACTCAGCTCCTCCTCAATTGCTGCCCTCTGTACTCTGGGTCATAAGCCGGGAGAGCCTCAATGGCCACGGGCACTGTGGTAGCACACGACTTCCTCCAAGCAGGAGGGCAGCTGTGGTCAGTGAAGACGGAGCACTCACCATACACGGCGATGGTCTTGGTGTCCTGCAGGATGGCATTCCCCGCGGAGACCTGCACCGTGATGGTGTTCATCCCTTCGGAAGTAAACTTGAATGATATGCTTCCCTCCAAGGTGATCAAGGGCTAAAATAAACGGGGCACAGAGTGAGGGGAAAGCCCTTCACTCCCAGATGAGATAGCTAGCTCTGAGCCACCAACGAGCTACGTAAATCAGTGGAGGCGCTGCCTGGCGAACCCAGTGCAACGGACCCCAACTACGCCTCCCCATTATCTCAAGCCCAACTAAGCCCAGGCCAGACACGGGCTATTAGAGTGATGACCCCAAGTGGCTCTGCCCATTGCTTGTGAATTTGACACTTCCCCTACCGCACAGACGGAGGGCTGGGAAGACTGATACCCCTCCCCCTTGATGGTGGGATATATGTTCACATGTACATCCTTATGGATAACCTACTGGTGTCAAGCAGATCCTTTAACCCAAGGAAACATGCAAATCAGACCGAGACAGAGGGCTCATATTAATCGAGGTTTAAGCAGCAGTCACTGGAAATCTATCAGCTCCAGTTGTTTATCTCCAGGGTGTGCTGTTTATAATAAATTATAATGGAATGCAGCAACCATGGATGCCAAAACTGCACTCGTTAGAGAGGCGTGGCCTGGTGCGGCTGAGCTTCTACTGAGAAGCCCTATCAGCAGTTTCCTAGAAGCAGCTGCTATGGAAATAAGTAGTAATTGGACAGTGGTTTGATGACTCAAAAAAAAAAATATTTGGATTCGTGCCTGTAATACAACTAGATACGGGGGACCTGAAGGAAAAGAGTATTAGCCTACTGACCTCCCTCCACTCACTCCCTGCAATCATTTCATTCCTGTCTTTTCTTGATTAATTTTAAAATCAAAATTCATTTAACTCCCTGTATGGCAAAGGGAAGACTAAAGCCAGCATAAGAAGTCCACTCAACATGGTCTGTTGAGAATTCAGTTTTCTGCTGAAAGGTCAATAATAGGAGATGCAGAGGAAAGTGATTTCGTATTTTCACTTTCCAGTACTAGCTTTCAGGCGAGTGACATAGATTTCTGCTCCTCCACTGTGGGTAGCGGGCCCAGTTTTGGCTGAATTTACATGCATCGTTTCAGAAGTAATAAAAAAGGACTACTTTTCAGCTTGGTTATGTTGACAGAGGTGACAGAGTCCTTCCACTGTCAGGCTTGTAGCAGGTCTAGCGCCAGGGGAGTTCCTTCCTGGCCTGTGCAAAATTACGAGTATGTCTCAAGTGAAAGCCAACGTTGAGCTCTGGGGTGGACAAAGATTTGCATGAAAATAAAACGCATTGCATTGGAAGAGCAAAGTCATCAAGTGAAAGCTACTTTGCTGGAAGTAGAAGGGGCTTCCCAGTCAGGGCAGGCTGTCCTGGTGCCCCAGGGAGGGAGGCTGTGGGGCGCTAGTCCTCCTGCCTACATTGGGCAGCAAATTTCATTTCAGAGCATGCTGCCTGGAGTGAGGAGAATACAAATTCACGTAGGCGTCAGAAGGCCTGGATCTGGCCTCCGCCTGCAGCAGCTGGTTCGAGATGGGAGCAAGCCCCCTGTCAGTGTCATCGGCACCTTCTTTCATCTGCAAAATGAAGGACTTAGAGTAAATGAGGGTGAGGTCTTTACTGGCTTTAAAATCGCTGCTGACTTTTGATCACGGGGAATGTTTGGGGAAAACATAAGGGGAAGAGGCCGTTTAGGGGCTGGCGGGTAATAGGCCTCTGTTGCCTTGGCCTGACCAGTATCCATTCACCCCTTTCCCTTTTGGGGACCATTCCATACCTTCTCTTGGTCCCTGTGGTTCTAAGGAGGCTGACTTGAATGCCTCTCTTTCCAGCCCCAGCACTGTATGCAAGGCCTGGCCAATGATACTCCATTCCAGGACGTGAGTTAGAATATTTGGGCAAGAGTTTACTTTCTCTGCTCAGCTTGGAGGGTATAGAACCCGGCCTGCTGCTAAGGGTCACTGCAAACCAAAGTCTAGCTGGAGAAGGACACCAACACAGAGGAAGCCAGAGGAAAGAGGCAGGGGATGGAGCAGTGAGAGAGAGAGAGAGAGAGAGAGAGAGAGAGAGAGAGAGAGAGAGAGAGAGAGAGAGAGAGAGAGAGAGAGGCAAAGAGAGAGACAGAAAGACAAAGGGCGCATACTGATGAGATGACTGGTGCACGCAGAGCCTGCTGGCCCCGCAGCGAGGCCTACCCACAGACTCCGGAGTTAATTAAGCCATTTTCATTCCTGTTTTGGCTTCAGCCAGTTTGAGTGGAGCTGCCCCCAGACCCCGCGGGAAAGGACTACCTACCTCTGTGTTGTTCCCGTACCACCACACGTAAGTGAGGGTGCCCACTTGGCTGGGCCACAGCACGGCAGTCGCGTTGACCTCTTTGTTCTTTGTGGTGACAAAGGGAAGAGACAGGTGGACATGCTCCAGGGGACCTGAGGCACAAGAGAAAAGAAGAGGCACAGAGAGGGAAGGGCTTGCTCTGCTTTGCCTGCCCTGCGCTGACGAGAACGCGTGTTCTGTCTGGAAGCCTCGGAAACACCCCAGTCCTAGGTCCTGAGGGAAGTGCTCAGGCACTTTCTCTACTTTGGCGAAAAGGATATAGTGTGAATAATTATATCTCAACATTTGCCACGTACCGACGTTCTTCCAGGTCTAGAACCCGAGTTATTTATGTGTACAAGTTTTAAAATGTAAAAATAATTTCCGAAGTCCTTACATGAACAGGCAGAATAGGGGATTTCACGACGAGATGCCAATTTTCCAAGAGGTTATACCCTTGGCGGCAAACCAGGATTGTGCAAACCTCACAGAATCCATGGCAGGCGGTGGGGGAGTCGGGGAGCGTGAAACAAAGCCCCAAACTTCTCTACACATAATTACCCTCTACTATTTACCGGACGTTAAAGATCTGTGGGTGTGTAAAGGTGTGTGTTTGTGTGTGAGAGTGCGCGTATCGCGCGTGTCTGTATGTGAGTGTCCATAAAGCTGCCTAATTAGGTAAGCACGGAACAAATTATGTTTGGTGTTGACTTAAGCTTGTCCAGGACAAAGGCATCATGAGTGGGTAGAAAGAGCTCTGTGGTTCTCAGGATGCGCTCAATTGAAAAAAAGAAAAAAGAAAAAAAGATGATTCTATTTACAGAGACCAGTAGACCAGAAACCTTAATCAGAAGAACAAACCCATAAAATGTGAACAACCGCTTCACAGAGAACTACTAGGACCTTCCCTGTGGCCCCTGATCTCTTGTTCCCAGGCAAAACGCAGTTCCCTCCGGGGTAAACGGGACAAAAATCAAGCATCCCCCCCATTATTCCGTGAGGCAGGAAGAAAGTGCTACCTCGGTCCTGTCCACTTGGTTTCATCACTGTCTCTTCCTCTGCTTGACATTTCAATACCTTTCGTTGAGTACTATCTTTGGCCTTTTTTCCCTCCATATACTCTTCTACCAAGTAATATCACCCACACCTGGACCTTTAATGATAAACTAGATGCTTAGGGCTCTCAAGCCACCTTCTTGATTCCAGATTCAATTAGCAGCCAAATATTCCTGAGGAACCCATTATCCACCCCACCCCCATTCTGTATTCACTATATCTTAATGAATAAAACCAAAGTTCATCTTGGGGACCATCCCAGAAGCCGAAAGTCAACCTAGATTCCTTATTTCTTGCCATCCGTACCCACTTAGGAAACCACTGATTTGGTTTCATAAATGTCTCTGTTAGAGCTCTGCTCACCCTCCGCAGCCCTGCTCTGGTTCCTACACTGAGCAGCACTCTCACCTGGACCACGACCACTCTCTTCCGACTTTCCTGCCTCTCACCTATCCGCCTCTGGCCCACCTTGCTACTTTTTGTGTTCAGTGCCCGCCTCCCTCAATAGTGCATAGGCTGCACCAAGTGCCAGCTGTCCAGCCCCTAGAGTAAAACATACGCTCCAGGATGAGGGCAGAGCAAGTGCACAGACATTGAGGAGGAGGCGGCTCTCCGTATTTGAGGAATAGCAAGAAAGCCCAAAGGGCACAGGTGGAGAGAGGGAGGGAACGAGTGAGCGCCCATGAGATCTAAGAGGCATTCAGGACACAGAGCACTTCGGCCTTTAGTATGCATATGTGTGTTTTCATGAATTCCTTCTTGCATGTTTACGCAATTATATATTCATACAAATGTGTGGGGTTTATTTTTTCAGATTCCCACATCCTCTTGCATTCATTTACTTCTTACATGTGTAATATGTAAGAGCTTACTTCTTAGCTCCTGCTGCCCCAAAGCCTAGCCTTTATGCATTCTTTTCTGCACAAGGGATGTGATCCGCCCTAATAGAGCTGCAGAAGTGAACCTCCAGCCCCTGGAGGCCCCCAGTTGGCTGGCTCCACTCAGGCTGGAGCTGAACAAGCTGGCGATGCAGCTCCAGCAGACAGGTACCTGCAATGCACAAAATGGACGCCAGGTGGCAGTGCATTACTCCATATGAATCTTCCTGGCAAGGTAATTGAGGGAACTGCAAAATCACTTGTGTAAATTGGGTTTTCCTGCTCTTTTCTTGTTCAGCCCTCCTTTGCTGCAGGAAACGGCTGCGTGTGTGAGATGGAACTTCGTGTGCATGTGCATGTGTGTGTGTGTGTGTGTGTGTGTGTGTGTGTAGGCACATGTGCACACATGCACTGACCCGCCTTCAGAATTTGTTCTGGAGGCCTCTGACCATCCAATTAAATATTGTGTATGCATTATATTGCTGTTTGTCTGAAATGTCTAAAAATCCACTAGAAGAAATAAAAGCAATTCAGAGTATAAAATGAGATCCTAAAACAGAGTTCCTTACACTTCAGTGTCCACAGGGACCCTCCCGACCTGTTCAAAGAAGATTATGGTGCCACGCTTCCAGGATTCTCATTCAGTAGGTCTGTGATAGGGTCCAGGACACTACACTTCTATAATGTAACTTTGGGGCAGGTGACTCAGTAAACCACACTTTACAAAACTCGCGTATGACATTTACTGGCCAATATAACGACCGTGTGAAAAGTTGCAAAGGTTCTTAAACACAGGTTCTCAAGAAATTGATCACTTTACCCGAAGATGGGGACAGAGTGACATCTGCAAGTGGCACCTCTGTAAGGAGGTAGCTGAAGGGAGAGGTTTGGGAAGGACTAGAATATCCATTTCATTTTTTTGTTTGTTTGTTTTACCTTCCATTCTGCAAATTTACAGTTTTCAGTTTTTGTTCTGCATGACTGGATTAGATAGGATAGATTTCTGAACAGAAATCTGCGTGTCCTCTAAATTCTCTGCCCCAGCCAAGGCAACACTGGCTGTACCACGGGTCTCATTAGTTTGCAAAGAAGCAGAGCGCAGTGACTACTTTCCCCGAGGAATTTCCAACTGTCAGGCTACAGCGGATTACCCAGCTGCCCGGTGAGAGCGGCCAGCCCACTCCTGGGAACCTTATGGCTGGAACCTCATCTCCATTTGTTTCTGATGACCTTTGCAAACCTCTATTTAAAAGCCTCTGATTTGGAATCAAATCACCTTTCTGAACTGGAGAGTGGAGGGAGTATGTTCAAGACAGGCAAGGGGGGGTGTGGGGGGCTGTGTGTGGGGGAATCCCAGGCAGGAGGGAGAGGTGTGGGTGAAAGGGGCGGAGGGCAGGCTTGGGGAGCTGAGTCGAGACTTGCTGCTCAGAACCCACTGAGTACAAGTTCACGGGCTACTTTCTGATGATGTAACATCAAGCTTTACCAGTTGACAGTGCACAGCGTAGTATGCTCCACGGAGTCTTTTACGAAATGTGCCTTCCTCACGTGATACAGAAAAAAAGACCTAGGCTCAGAAAACGGAGTGACCTGGCCAGGAGTTCAGGCCATCATCTGGATCTTAGAACTCCCAACTCAGTCCAGTGCTCGTTTTTTGCTTTAGCTAAAAGCCATACCACGCTCCCCCATCCTGGCACTGTGGCACCAAAAACTGCCATGATACCCTTCCGGTTTGAGATTTGGGGATGTGTGAATCAGTTATGGTCTGGTTGTGACTTCCTACAGTGTAAAATAATGTCAACCACTGAACCCAAGATGAGCCTAACAAAATTAAAACTGAACTCAAAAGTTTCCATTGCAAATCACCTTTCACTAAGGTTAAGGTCAAATCATTTAGCTACTCAACTAGGCTAATGAGACAAAAAAAACCAACAACAAATTGCAAGTGAGCAGAAAAGCTCACTTCTTTTAGAAGTCGTGCCTTTAGCAACCTTTCAGCTTGAGCAGAGACAATCTCTGTGCTGTTCTTCTTCCCAGGATTTTGTAAACCCGGGAGAGGAACCCCTTAGGGATATGGTCATTTTTAGGGGTGAGAAAGAACCCCCAGAGCGACCAGGAGGGTGAGCGGTGGATGACTTCTATGAGAGACTGAAAACCTGAGACAAAAAGCTGCTGCTGAATTTTACATCAGTATTTACACGTGGTCAGAATATGGTAAATGTTTAATATGCATATGGAATGTGGGCTAGAGTGGCGGCAATTCTGAAGGAGAGCAGCTCTCTCACACAAGCCCTTCTTACAGAAGAAGCCGTGGGAAAGATAGGCTGCTAGGTAGGCGTCCAGCCTCAGCACACGTGTGGCCATTTGTGTTGCAAGTTATTTTTGCTACTAATCACCAATGTTTGTGATATATTTTGGAAAGTTTTGTGATTATTCCTATGATGTCATCGGTTGAGATGATTTCTTAGCAAGAGGCAACTCCAGAAATTCTATGTAGGACAGCTTAGGGGCAGCACACAGCTGCAGGGGAGCCTCTGAAAGGTGTCTTGAACTTACATAGTTGTGTAGCGAATACACTGCTTCTAACTTAAAGGTTCATGTTCCTTCAGGATGATTCACAAAGTCATGGTGGGGGACTAAGGGCTGGGGGGGAACTTTGTTCCTCTAATCCCAAGCCGTTGTTGGAATTGACAATAACCTTAGTGATGGAGAGCTGGGATCTGAGACAGGCCTGAGTCTGAAACCTGGCTCTGCCAGGGAGTAGGTCTGCAACTTCACGTGGGTATTCAATCTCTCGGAACCTCCAGTTTTTGTCAAGATACACTCCACAAATGCCTCTTCATTGGAAGCAACTTTGCTGGCTTCCTTGCAAGTAGGGGTTTGCAATAGTGCCTACTTCATTGGGTTATTTGGAGGAACAAGATCATTCATACACATAAAGAGCTTGTTTAGCACAAAGCCTGGTGCAGGAAGAATTAAAAAACAAAACAACAACAACAAAAACCCTTTGGCTGTAAAGAGGGAGATGAAGTTGGCAAACTGGGAATCTTGTCAAACTTTGTTTAAACCCAAAGAAGGTAGAATGTGTTTTGTCAAAGCACCTCTGTCATGAATGTACAGGAGATAAAGATCAAGAATTGCTGATACAGCAGGATTCATCAGGAGCCAAACAATGTCTTGGAATCCCTACACAGCTGTGTCCTCCCACCGACCGCAGTGGCTTCAAAAAGTTTCTGTTTAGTACGTTCTGTACTCAATTAAGTTCAACGGGCAAGGGGCAGTTGAGAGGCATGGAATACTGCCCAGCCTCAATACTCTTGGCCTAGAACTTGAAATCCATTTGAACAAGGCCATTCCTACAAAGGAGCTACATTCATTTTAAAGTCGACCATTTCTCTAGCAATGTAAACTAGTCCTATGACTATTTAGGGACACCCACACACCTACCAAATGGCACCATTTTTAACCAGACATAACTTAGGAGTTATCATTGTCTCATCCTACTCAGTACGCCTTCAGATTCCGCAGTGGGGGAAAAGCTTGAACATTTCTTGGAATTGTTTCCTAGTGTAGCTTCCTTAACATTGTTGCCACTCTTTCCCGCCATACCAACCTTCTCTCTAACAACAAATCATCACGAGATAAAGCTCAAGAAACACTCTTTAAAAAAAGAGAGAGAAAGAGAGAGAACAAAAGTCTAAAAGAATATTATAGTGAGACATAATGTGGGAGTAGAATAATCAGATAAGGAGAAATTCCTTTACTTGTGCTAATTCTCGATGCAGTTAGATCGGGCAATACATGGAGCTTGTTTTTGAACATTTCTGTCCCTCCCCCCCAAAGAAAACCAAATTCCTATTCAATCAAATAGTGCAGCAACTTGCTCGGGCCTCACCCTCAGACACGGGCGCTGTGTTTTAGAGGCATCCGGAAGCGGCAGAGTAAGTGCAGAGAATAATCAGAAGCAACCCGGAGTCCGGGCTCATTCAAATTCCACTCCCTGAGTTTCTTTTTATGTTCTCCCCACTTGACTCTCTTATTCTCCCTTTCTGCTAGATAGAAAGCTTCTAGATAGGAAAGTTTGGATTCTATTTCAAAAGGACACACTATTTCAATTACGTCATAAAGCAACAGCAGTAATAACATACAAGTTACATGTAAGTACAGGACGGCGCTGTCAGACCCGAGACTGTTGTCCACCTGCACGGTCACTCGGAAGATGCCCACATTGTGATAGACGTGTTTGATCCCATCTTCCATGGAGCTCAGGTTGACGTACGACACTGCGATGCCATCGCCGAAGTCCACTTGGATGAATGTCCTCTGAACGTCACCCTGAAAAACAGCCCGACATCAGAGGACAGGGAGTCTGTGCTTGGCTGTGTCTGTTCTAGGGGCTGGGCTTTGCTCCTGGTCACTGGCTCAGGCACCAAGGCAGCCCTGGCTGCCTCCTACAGCTGGGAGAATCTGCCTGTGTTTGACAGAATCCTTGTGACATTTCCTGGCAGACAGACATTTACTAAGATGGATGTTCTCCAAATCTCAAGGGCACCAGCAATCCAGTTTCCAGATTTGGAAAACTAAGTGTTTGATTATCAGCTCCAATTTGATACTCAATTCCTCTGAAGGCTTTGTTTATAGTCTTATCATCCACGTGAAAAAAAAAAAGGTGTGCACACCGCTTCAAATATTCCACCTACCTGACATGGTCATGGACCATTTGCCATACGTTCAGGACCCCTGAGCACCCTTCTTTATTTCCGGTTCCCTACCCATGCTGGAGGAAGGATAGAAGACACCTTGCTTTACACCTGATATAACATTAGCCTCAGCCCTATTGTTATTTAAGATAATGATGGTTAATTCTTCAGCATTTTTCACTATCAAAATGACCTCATTTTATTCTTCACTGAATCTTAATCTGGAGAGGAAAGCAGGCAGTGTGCATCCATCTTACAGATCAGTCAGCTGTAGTCAAGAGGGGTTTCATCATGTGTTCAAGGTTAATGAAGCTAGTCAGCAGCAGTCCTGGGACTTGAACCCATCTCTGAGTTGCATTTCATTCACTGTATGTGGGTAAAGCACTGAGGTTGAGTCCTAGGGTGCCATTCACAAGCGAGGTAATTTCATGCATGTCATTCATCGTCCTTTGGTCTCAGTGACCTAGTCTATGAAATGGGCATAATACCTTCCTGTCTTGACTCAGAGAGTTGTTATAAAAGACATGTGATTAGTAATCTGTAAAATTCTATGCCAAAACAAACGACTGGAAAAACAGCACAGCCGTAGAAGGCCTGCACTACCCCTTTTAAAGCTTGATTAGAATCACAGCCTTCTACATTTCCCTCAGGTCTACAGCAGAAGACCAAGACTGATTCATAAAATCCCAGACATGTGAAAAAGTGACCTTTGGAAATACAGTCAAGATTCTTAAGGAACAAAGTTTCTCAGATGCAACTGACAAAAACCAGCAACCCTCACACACAGCCCATACTTTAACACATTTTTTGTTTATTTTGTTAGCTTTTCCCATTTTTTTTTTGGAGGGGGACAACTTTGAGCTAGAAATGCATTTTCGATTAAGTAAGGTTCATATGGTATCATATTTTTTGAAAAGGCCAAGTTTAAAATGCTGACATTTAAGAGATTAATTCACAGGAAAAGGAAAAGCGGTTCAAATCCTATGAATCTATGTGACCTACTCTTCTGATCTATGCCCAGTCAAGCATTGCATAGTGGGGACATGACAGCTAAGTCTCAGGAAGGACATGGGCAAAAATTCTCCCCTAGGGTGGAAAAAAGAAAGTCCATTCAGAATGACAAAACAAACATCCACGAGCCTAGACATCATGCAATTACTTGAATTCCCTTCACTAATAAATATAAATGTCAACCATTCTTGCTGACTTGTCCTTCATTTGGACAACCAACTTGGACTGATCAATTTCTCATTCTGTTTCTAGTCAGATTCTGCTCCCATGTTTTCTGGATTTTCAAGCCAGCCAATCCTAGGTTTGGGCTGGAGATAGAGCCCGCCTTTAAATCTATCTGTTCTCAGGGAAATATCAGGGGTACCTAGGGTTGACCATGGAATATAATAAGCAATATCATTTCAGAGAGAGAGAGAGAGAGAGAGAGAGAGAGAGAGAGAGAGAGAGAGAGAGAGAGAGAGAGAGGGAGAGGTGTGTGCTCAGTGTTCTTTATCAGGACAAAGTAGACATCAGGTAGGAATGACCATTTACAAGAAGAGAGAGGAAAGGACCTCTGTCATGCTGGTCTTCTGCCCTGTTAGCATTCTTAATTCTCCACTCATGACAATGTTCTCTATGCATTTAACAGGTGAAAGGAAGGAGTTATACAGTGTTTGGACTATGCATCAGTAGAGATGCCATTATAGAGGAGTTGGACTTTCAGAGTATTAGGTCAGGTATCAGGGCATACATATAAACACACTCGTATATATTTGCATGTATCGAGCTTACTGCACACCTGAGAGCCTCTGTAGGCAAAGAGCCTCCTGATGTGCATGCAGGACTCTGGGCTTGGTGCTCTGTGCCAGGAGGTGAGAGCATCAGGGAGCCAATTCTGACAGCTGAAGGCAGCAGATTTCATCCCTGTTGCTGTGGCTTTGCCCGCTCAAGTAGAACAAACTGGGTCCCATGCCTTTGCCTTCAGAGGCTCTCAGGTGCTTGGCATACCTAATACCACTGCAACTCGTCACTTTGGGGCTCATCCATCACATTTGGAAGTCATGAGCCTCTGGATTCCTCGGGCTGTAATTACCATCCGAGACAGAGATTCCGACTCCTTTCAGAATATAAGAAACAGGGCAAAGGGAAGAGGTCCAAAGTCCTAAATCCAAGTATGCTTGCCTGGCTTTAAATGGTTATCTGGTCATTCAGCCAACCAACCAACCAACCAACCAATAACTGGCAGATATTTACTGAGTGTCTATCTTGTGTCAAGCACTAAATAGGAAAACACTGATAAGTAAATTATAACCAAATAAAACAGATGTGGTCTGGGCTTTCATGAGCATATAGGCTACTAGTGAGACAGGTGGACTTAAATAATCTCACAAATAGATAAAATGTTATTATAGGGGACAATATGAAAGAGAGTGCACAGCATTAGAAGCTCGCACAGCAGTAAGAGGTAGAGAGCTGAACATCTTATCTGATTGAGAACATCAAGGAAGGCTTTCCAGATGAAGTGATATCTGAGCTGAGAAGGCCTAAAGGAAAGAAAGAAATTAACCAAGCAGAGGACAGGAGTGAGTGCCATGGAGGTGAGTTGTCCAGGCAATGGGCTCAGGGGGAACAGATGTGCAAGGGCCCTGTGGCAGAAGTGGGCGGAACAGCTAAAGGAGGCTGAAGATATAGGCATAGCAGGACCATGTTATGAAATGAGACTGGAGGGGAGTCAATGACATTTTAGGACTTGTAGGTCAAGTTTCTGATTTTGTCCTTTCTCCGAAGAGCAATGGGAAGTCATTAAAGTGATTTGAGCAGGGATTTGAAGGAAGACGGCAAGATGATATTTATAATTCAAAAAATCACTCTGGATACAATATGGCAGATGCATTGGAAAGAGGCTCAAGTATTCTGAGAAGTCAAATGGGATAGTTCAGTGTATATGCTAGTAGATTGAAATATGGGTTGCAACAGGATATTACATGAACCTTCCTGTCAAAAATTAACTCCCAAAGTTCATGGGTTCTGAAATCAGTGGATCATAACCTTTAATATCAGCATCTCTTATAGGAATTAAAAGAAAAAAAAATGCTGATGCCCAGCTACCACCCCAGTCCCACCTTTGGGCTTGGGGCCTCTGGGGAGGACGCTGGGCGGAACCAAATTTTGAGGCCTTCGGGTTCGGATGCTCGAACATTAGCTTTCCCTTGTGACTGAATTCCTCTGGAGATGAATATAGTGCAGGACAAGCTGATGCTATTCTTATTCAATTCTGGTACGATGATAACGTTTTCCTAAGATGTTTTGTGATTCTATGTGCTCAGGGTGCATGAATAAAGCCAGGAATGGAAGACCGGAATCCATTGTTAGTGACGGGTGCACGGCCACAAACAGGAGTTCCACAACACACGCTAAGCTCTCTAGGAAAACAAGTGGCTGGGTAACATGAGGGTAGTTTGCGTAAATTCCTAAGGACTGAGACGTGCCCTTAATGGCTGTCTCCTCAGCACCTAATACAGTATAGGCACATGATTCTTTTTTGTTCAATTTTGAATACTGTGCATTTCTAATGTGCTAGTTCATCCACTTGCTTTTCTGTGTATTACCTCATTTGTCTGCTAGGACTCCTGGGAGATAGCAAGGGCAGATGTCGTTTCTATTTGATATACTGGAAGAACTGGGCCACAGACAGCTTAAGTAAGATGACTAAAGCTCCCAGCGAGTGCGAGACTTAAGAAAGGGTTTAAGACTGTCTGTGGTTTTAACTTTATCCATGCAGCTCAGTCCTTGTTGAGGTTCTTTCATTGAAAGTTCCTTGTACCTCCTTTCCGAGCGAGGGAAAGGTAATGACAAAGGCAGAACATCTCTTTTCTTGTTGGACTCGATTCCTGGCATTGACTCGATTTTCTGCTCTGACAACATTTTTGCCTTCAAGCGGAAAGCTGGATCATCTTGAACTCCATACACCACTCTTGTTTTTTGTTTTTCTGAGAATTTTTATAAGAGTTTATTTGAGCCAAACTGATGGCAATTGCTAAGAAGCAAGATCTCAAATGCTCTCTTCATACACCATTCTCAGCTCTTCCCTGCCATTCAGTGGTAGCATGTTCAAGCCACATAAGGGGACAGACAATAGAGGAAACGACAGACATTCAGGATTAGCAGTCAGGAAAATCTTGGGTATAACTGGGAGTTACTTCGGTCTAATACATCACATGTTGTCATTCCCAAAACATGGCCTAGGCTGGCAAATATCTAGACTGTCATATAAAATTCCTTAGGCTTAATGCCATTTAGTCGCATGCCCTAATATAGACACAGAATGGAGAACACTAGCTCAAAAGCAGTGCCCAAGAAAGGCACAAAAGCCAAACAGAATCCATATGGGGATTCTCCAAGGGCACCACTGGCTCTGTAATAGAAAAACAAATATATCAAATGGGCACAATGAAGCCAAGATTAACCTGAGGGATGAAAGGTGTGTGAACCTATCAGTTCCTGTAACATGGCTTCAGGGAAAAATGGGAAAACAAATGCTGCAGTAACTCAACACTGACAGCCTCAGCCTGAAACGAGGCTCCACGATGCTCCTGAAGGCCTGAGGGACTCACCGCAGGTAGAAGCTCGACGTGTATGTCAGAG